GGAACAATCCCTTAAAATTCCAGTCTTCTAGCTTTTCAGGTTCTCGAATTAGCAACTTACCCGAGAAATTTTCACGGGTCCGTACGTGGTTATAACACATAACCGAGGGTTGGTTTTGAGCTTATTAATACCTCCGTGGACGGGAAACGCCCCCTTAAAATTTCAGCTTTCCAGCGTTTCTGGTTCCCGAGTTAGCAGCTTACCCGTAAAAAACTTTGTGGGCTCGTACGTGGTACCATATAGGTGAGAGCGCCCATTTTGGAGCCCTGTAGCTTTCGTAGGTGTTAGATGAAAAATCGGTACAGACGAACACAAACATACACACACACACAGACAACCCCTCGTCAATATGCGTTTTCTGCAGTGCGTAGATGCAAATAACACATAAAAAGCGCCATGAAGAAGCGACAGCTCACCAGAATGCCAAATCAATAGGCAAAACCGTCAAAATCAACAAGGTTTATGTGCACATGTCAGCTAGTATTGATAAAACTAAAGAGTTCTGCATTAAACTCGGAGCAACTCTTCTCTTCAGCAAGTCGCTTAACGCGGTTTCTATGAAATACAAACTCTGTGACTTTCACTTTCTTTAAAACAACTTTCATCATTTTTCCTCGATAACCGTAAAGGAATTACCTGCACAATTACATTGAACCAACAACTGTTGCCTATGTTTTTTAGTCCAACCGGTGTTACATCGGTTCGTCGTCTTTCATATGGGTTTTCCGGGTCGGACTGTGCAAAAGATGGAAAACCAGCAATATTTTGGTTATCCTTCAGTGATTCTTCAATGGCTCTAAAAAAAAAAAACATCAAAATAGGCATTCTATGACTTTTCACAACACCAACGTGGCAAGCCTTTTTAAACTGATGCACAGAGTTAGCGCATGCATTTCCGTCCTGAGCCATCATCAGCTACATGAATATCAAAGGGCAAATTTAATCGAACAAAATTCAGCATCATCCACGACTAATTTGCTAAAAGTCCCGAAGATAAAGCCAAAATCGTTAAACCGTCGTCGTTCGGTGACTCGTTTTCTTAGGAACGTGGATAATGTGAGGAAAAAATGCTGAGAAAATAATGACAACCAGCTCGGAAAATTTTGAAACAAAAACTAATTTTCAAGGAACCAAACAAAAACGAAAATCCCATCACTTAAATATTTAGCACATTATCACTCAGCTCTAAATATGAGTAGTATTTTCGTGGTCTAGAATGGAGGGCGGGGGGGAGGGGAGGGGTAATAATGCTGAGCACATAAAGATATCTCAAAACGAGTAGAAGCTTGTTAAATGGTTCTGCTGGGGGAACAGTTTAGCTGGTGACCTCTACAAGAAACGAAATGAGCGTCAGGATCGGCAGCAGACTGATCAAGGCCAAGAATCACCGGCCAAAAAACAAACTACAACTGCATAGTTGAAAAAGCAGATTTTTCCAGTATTATGATTTCCCCCTTACTGTAATAATCTTTGTAAATAATCCCTCCTCAGTTTTACCACTTTAGCATCTGCATATGCATATAAACGTAATATTGCTAATTCATTACTGACATACGCGCAGTTTGCTAGTCGATAAATGAGGTAAAACAAGTGATTTGTTAATTGGTAAAAACGAGAGGTAAAACACTTGGCTAATAGGAAACTGTCTAGTTGGGAAATTCAATAAGCATACTTGATAACATCCTGCTCCTCTCGATTTCCAATCACACCTCGCGATACGCCGCCCCATTTCTGGGTACCCTTATCTTCCTCTGATGTAAGGTCAATCACTTCTCTTGTGCCGTCCGTCGTTGTGCTACGTGTGTTGAATGAATGCGGCCGACTAATCGATGGTGCCGGTGTTGGCGTTTCCAAATGCTGAAAGGCATATTGTGCTTGTAGATGTGCAAAAGCCCTGGTATACAGGGACCACGTAAGGGGATACAGAGCGAGAAAAGCGGGCAAGTGCGAGGAATGAACCGCAGGGGAAGGTAATGCTTCTTATCAGGCATTTAATAGCTTAGGCTAAGCAATAATATCGTGGGATTCGAGTTCCGCACAAATTCCAAAGCAAAGCACTCATAAAAAGCGGACATTCAGAGGGAAAGAAAGGCCTTCGCCCCACATGAGGTTGCGACAACTGGGCCAAATGTGCAACTCGATGACTTTATATGGAGCCTTCCCGGGGGAGCAAAATATGCAAATAAATAGGCAAATTATGTAAATTTAGTCTCAATACGACTTTCAAAAGAGCCAATACGCCGTTGCTGCTGCTGAAGTGTGACCAGTTGCCTAGTATGGCAGTCATGACAGTCCGCTGTTACAAGTGCATATACCATCTCTCTAACGCAGAATGTTTCGAGAACACAGACAAAAGATGATCGCTACTTTATTAGTCAAATCAGCAGAAGGTCTCATTTAACATGAACACTACGGGGAATGAGGAAAGAAATGAGTTCAAATTCACAGGTACAGGTACAATCCCCCACCATTCTGAATGTTTTATGCTAGAAATCAATGTACTGATCTGAGCAGAGTGCATGTTTGCTTCGGAAGCGACTTCACGGGCCAAGTCACATTTGACATTAATAAAAAGCACTTAAGGCTATGTTCCTCACCGTTCTCACCAAATCCCATTTTAGATTTAGTGGCTTTATTCTCGAACAGATCCAGGGTGTTCCTGTGGGAAGCAAGTAGAGGCCTAACATTGCCAATCTCACTTTGCAGGCCATGGAATATCGTCTTCAGCTGCTTCGTTGAGCTGATGAAATTCTCGTCATCAGCTACTTCAGTCTTACCGATATCACCGGTGATTCACCAGCTTAACGCTAGCTAATCTGGATTCACGATATACTTCTACAACCATGAAATCAAATGGGATAACGGTTACTTTTTGTCTGCAGACACAACAAAGCCACAGACTGTCCCTTCTCCGGGAACTAGAGCAAATTTCCAGATAGCGATATGGAACATGTCATCCAATGAAAAGACGATGGCATCCTACTCTTTCTGACAGATTAGCGTGGTGGGCCAAATGTCTGAATGACATATACAGACGTGGGAAATTCGTCAAAACCAGGACAGAACAGTAGGTTTTCAGATTCTGCTTCACGAACAGGACCGCTTTTTAGCAAATGTATTTTTCCTGAAGACAAAATCAAAAACCTTACTATTTGCTTAAAATAAGCTCTCTTACCTCTCCTCCATCTTCCCATCGTTTTCCTGTCCTCCTTTTAGTCTTCTCATTGTTCTAGTCCTAGCAATTTTGCACATGCTCATCAAATACCTGGTGGAGAGGAGACTCCTACTTGCGTGTTGCGTTCAGGTCCTTGTTTACCGCTAAGGGATGAAACATAGGCTGCATCCTGACAAGTCTTCTTACATATGACACTTGGGCTGGACTTCTATTTCTTGGTCTATTATCGGAGAAATGTAATTTATTTTAACCGGTTCGAAGCGAACTTGCTTGGCCGGCTTCTTCAACTCCGATTCAATTCGATCGAAATACGTCGAAATGACATCATTCAGTGCATTGCTACCACTCAAATGCGGCTGGAATTGAGATCCATGGCTCTGAAAATACATGATACATGACATTTTGTACCTCCGGCATCAGTGTCTTCAGTGTTCTACGCTCCCCACAGTAATGCCGCTCCTTCGCTGCCCTAGTAAGATCACTCTTTCTATAACCACCTTTTGACAATGTATTTTCCATTCGCCCTCCCCCCCTCCACCCGTGACGATCAGGATTACAGTTTAAGGCTAAAACATGTCAGGGGTGTGCCAGAGGCAATCCTTCATTCAGTGAATGATAAATGGCCAACGCACCGGCTGCCCGTGCGAAGATGCGTTTTTTGCAGAGTTCCCCGCAGGTTTT